ATGCCCTAAAGAGACAGAGGTTGGGTTACGTGGGATCTAGATGGGGATGAGGGTGAGAAGAAAGAAGCAGAGTAGGCTAGAAATCCAGGTAATCAATCATAAGAGGAAAAACCACACAAACATCAGATCTCCCCCATGGGTTCTAAAGGGTCATACGTGCACTAGGGAAAGAACCATACAATTAGAGTCAAAACGTGATCTGGTAATAAGATAAATGTTACTTTACAAAGGGGTTTTAACAGTTTCCTCAAAAATCTTGACAAATCAAAATTGCTATGTACAAAATATTTGCTAATAAATGTCAATAATAATTATGTAAAGCTTACAGGTTTTTTTGTTTTGAGACAGAGTCTCACCCTCAGTAGAGTGCCATGGCATCACAGCTCACAGCAACCTCCAACTCTTGGACTCAAGTGATCCTCTTGCCTCAACCTCCTGAGTAGCTGGGACTACAGGCACTTGCCACAATGCCTGTAGGCTATTTTTTTTTTTAGAGATGGGGTCTCACTCTTGTTCAGGTTGATGTTGAACTCCTGAGCTCAAACAATCCATCTGCCTCAGCCTCCCAGATTACTAGGATTACAAGTGTGAGCCACCGTGCCCGGCTTGTGAACACCTGTGGTAGAGTAGGAAGAAAACTAACCTTACCTCCCAGCTAAGGAGATAATATATGTGAAAATGCTACTATGTACCTTAAAGGATTACATCAACGCTAGCTGTAATTACTTTTGTTATCCATCTATAACCAATTAGAAATCAAAACCTAAGTTATATATGTTGCCATAAGTATTCAATCAGAACTGTTTAATGATAGTAAAACAAAGCAAGATTTCTCAAACTTAGCACTACTGACATTTGGGGCCAATAATTCTTTGCTCTGGGAGGCTATCCTATATGCACTAGCCCTGACCTTGACTCACTAAGAGTCAATTGAACTGCTATCCTCTAGCCAAGGAGGATAATCAGAAATGTCTTTGAACTTTGCAAAATTACCCTTGACTGAGAACCACTTTAATGGTTCTCAATAACCACTTTTATGCTTTAAAGGATAAGAAAAATCTAGAAATTATGTTTATGGCTCTCCCATACAAACTGAGGGTGAAATGGTCAAGATGGGCTAGACCTGAGACGTAAAATATAGCAGCCACTAGCCACATGTGGCTATTGAACAGCCATTTAAAATGTGACTAATCCAAATTGAGATATGCTGTCAACATAAAATATACACTAGACTTTGAAGACTTAGTATTTAAAAAAAATGCCAAGAATGCAAAGTGCTTAGAAATTTTTTATATTGATTACATGTTGAAATGACAGTATTTTGAATAGTATGGATTAAAATAAAATACATTATTAAAACTAACTTCATTTGTTTCTTTTTAGTGTTTAAAAAATGTGGCTGTTAGAAAAGTTAAAATTACATCCATAGCTTGTGTAATATTTTTATTGGACACAATAAACTCATGTAAAAAACTATGAGCTATATGCTCCAGGCTGCTTCTTGTGGGAGAGAAGGGCACTCAGAGGAGCTGGCTTCAGTTTTCTCTTTACGGTCTGTACATTCTCCTTGGATCCCCTCTCATCTCACTGCTTCAATGAGATCACTATCCATGGATGGCTAATCTCCAGACTGTGTCTCTGATCCAGAGCCTGACTCAAATCTAGACCTGTATATCCAAATATAAACTTCATAATCCCACTTGGACATCCTCAACAAACTCCAAACTTAAGTGATCCTCACTTGCCATAAGGCTCCACATCAAGGATCCCCCATTTGAGTCAATGGCAATATTGATGCAGATGCTTAAGCCAGAACCCTAAAAGTCATCCATGAGTTCTCCCTTGCAATCTCTCATAAAATCCTGATTTATCCCCTTCCTAAATATTTCTGGAATCTTCCTTTGGCCTACCCTGTTGGCGAGGCCAAGTCACCATCATTCTTCTTCCCTGTGTCAACTCCCTCCCCCTTCTTTTAATACTCTTATTACATCCTTCCCTTCTCAAAGCATTTGCCCCACAGATAGCTAGCACCTTTGCTCCTTTATAGTATAGCTTTCTTCTTTATTGCTGTATCTCCAGTTTATTGATTGTTGAATTAATTAATAAATGAATGAATGAATGAAGAGGAGTACAAATTGTTAACTCACGGCAATTTACTAAGGAGCTGGACTACAAAAACAATGGTTCACTTAGTATATAAGGCCTGGGAAAATACCAGTCCTTCTGTCTAAATATCAGTGCTTATGTAATGACCCAAGTTCAAGGATTCTAGAAATTGAGAAAAAGTGTCTGGGGACGATGTGCCCTTTACCTTCATCCTTAACAGGTCTATCTATCATGCCAAACCCAGAGTGAAGCCTTTCTATATACTGGGTCAAGAATGAACAGTTAAATAGTGCCATGTACAACCCTCTAGCCCTTCAGCAACCTGACACCCAATATTTTCCATTTTCAATGCCAGAGTCCCAGAGCATCTACATAGTTTCACCATCACGCAGTGAGAAGAGGCTAAAATTTTTGCAAAACTAAAAATTATAGTGATGAATTAAACTACCTCTGAAAGTAAGTCATTCAGAACACAATTTCAAGACAGTAAGGCCATTAGGCATTCCCCATCCAACCCCTTGCCTAAGCCAGCCTTCATTGCCCAGTTCATCGCTAGACTAAAAAAAGTTAAGATAGACCAAGGAAGTGTCAATACTGATTAGTAAGCTATGGCTGCTGTTTAAAAAAGTTAAGATTTGTACAGTTGTCAGTGGTACGTTAGCTATTCCAGATCTAGGCTAAGGAAGAGAGATTTTTGAGGACTCTCAGCAATATATGTGTTTACAGAAGAACATGTAGACACAAAGGCAAAAACAACACCTGTGTTTTCACTCATCTTTCTGTACTTCTTCTCACATAAGTAAGGGTTTAGTGGTGTGGGAATGTGTGGCACAGTGATCTGTGATATGGACCAGACAGAAGTTAAGAAACGATAGCATGGCAAAGCGAAGGTTGACCCTATGTCCAAGCGTACTATGTGGGGCTATCCTTGTCTAAGTGATTTTTTTAAAATAGCTTTATCTAGAAACTACATAAAAGACTCTTCTTGCCAAACATGGTGATTCATTCCTATAATCCAGCACTTTGAGAGGCCAAGGTTAGAGGATCACTTGGAGACAGGAGTTTGAGAACAGGCTGGACAATATAGCAAGATTCCCTCCATATGAAAAATAAGTCAGGCAGGTGGCTCATGCCCGTTATCACAGCTACTTTGGAGGCTGAGGATTGACTTGAGCCTAGGAGGTTAAGGTTACAATGAGCTATGATTGGGCCACCATACTCTAGCCTGGGCAATGAAGTGAGACCCTGTCTCTAAAAGAAAAAAAACAACCCACAAACCATTTTTTATAATATGAGGGAGTGGGGTCTTTAGGACTAAAGAAACGTTAGGAAGTGTTAAAACAAATTTATTGGCTCGGCGCCTGTGGCTCAAGTGGCTAAGGCGCCAGCCACATACACCTAAGGTGGCGGGTTCAAATCCAGCCTGGGCCCGCCAAAAACAACGACGATGGCTGCAACCAAAAAATGGCCGGGCGTTGTGGCAGGTGCCTGTGGTCCCAGCTACTTGGGAGGCAGGGGCAGGAGACTCGCTTGAGCCCAGGAGTTGGAGGTTGCTGTGAGCTATGATGCCATGGCACTCTACCCAGGGGGATAGCTTGAGGCTCTGTCTCAAAAAAAAAAACAAAAAAAAAAAACAAATTTATCTTCATTCCACAGCCCAAAAGAGAAAACAACGGCAATTAGCAGGTTGCCACAATTTTAGGAAGTGGGATAAGGCAATTTCACCAGGAAGTGAAGTTTTTCTGAGTTAGATGCCCTGTTTCTTTCTAGGAATGACTCAAAGAATGGTAGGAAACTGATCAATGCCTGTTTTTTCCTCCTTAAAACTTCTGGTGAATCTTTTATGTAACAAAGTTCAATACTCCCATTATCTTAGCAAAAGAATCTGTTCCAGGCAAAAAGAGCAAGGTAGCTGAGGTCTAAAAAAGGAGAGTCATAGATTTAGAAAAAAACAAACATAATACTAAATCCCAGTTGCACTACTCAATCTTTACACGACCTTAGGCAAATCTAACTGTATTTGTTTAATCAAAACATATCTCCACAAAGGGGACAAAATTTGGTGTTGGTGGAGGACAGTCTTATTCTTTTTTGTATAAAGCACAGATATACACTAAAGTACAATGCTTAAACATCTACAGTATTTTTCTGCGGTGTTAAAATTTTATAGGGTTTTTTTTTTTTAAATTGGGGAAATACCTAAAAAGGTTTCGGGGGCACAAAAATGAACAGAAAGTTGGGAGCACTTTTCTAAGCCTTCATTTCCTCAACTATAAATGGGTAGGCATCACCCACCTGTAAGGATTCAACCAAAAGGAGACTGAAAATAGTTAGGGGGGGAGGGGGAAATTCCACAGTTCCAAAAAGCAAAACTTAAATTTGCCACAGGTGTAATATTACATTAAACCCATACAAATGAAGTGGTGTAGGCATTGTATCAGGTATTATAAGTAATCTAGAGACGATTTAAAATAGATAGGAGGATGTACAACAATTATATGCAAACACTGTATCATTTTTTAATAAGGCACTTGTGTGTCTGCGCACTTTGGCATCAGCAGGGGGTCGTGGAACGAATCCTTTATGGATACTGAGGAATGACTGTCTACATGTATAGAGAGAAACAAGACAAAGCAGGGTAAAATTCCCAAAATTGTACATCACTCACAGAGAACTAAAAACACAAAGATTCAACCATATATAATTAATATCATCTAATAATCAATTGGATGACCATTAGGGCAATTTCCTTCTCATTAGTCATTTTATTACTAAATATCTAACACCCAGAGTCATTTTATTACTAAATATCTAACATCCAGACAAATGGAAAATCACAGTAGAAGTTAAATAATAATACAAGAAGAATCTGTAAGTGTGGCAAAAATACAAACCTAATACGCCAATTTCAAGACCAGCCAAGCCTGTTTTAATTTTGTCATAAATATCTTCTGTGGTAAAGTCAACAGCAATGGTTCTTGTCTCCACTTTGAATTTTTCTTCTAGGGGAAAAAAAACCAAAAAACACAAGTGAGGAGAGATAGGAAAAATAAATACATGGCAATTAATTGATAATATTATCCTTTCAAACTCTTTGCCCCCTTAAGTTGATATGAAACTTAGACCAGAATAATTTTAAACAACCACTGAGACCACCTAATGCATGACACAGAAGTCAATGCAACAGTCCTGTGATAACAATTCCAATGTCATCACAGAGCTGGCCGAATGTTCCTCCATAAATTCTCCTTTTATAAATCAATAATGACAACGACTTTTTAGACCCTTGGGTACAAATAAAACATGATTCTTGCCATCTTGTTATATACCCTTTAAATATCACTTGCTTTGTGATTTTAACTGTAAATTGATGTTTCACAATTTCAGAGAGAAATCTTTACGTGGTAAAACACTGTAAAGCATCATATATTAAAACAAAAAAGCCCATCTTATTAAAATAGAAATAAAATGTGACCTTATTGTAATTTGGGAGCTTGGTTAATATTTAATAGTCACCACGTTTAAAACACCACACAAAATGCACAGTAATAAAGCTATAAAGTGACACCAAAAAGACCTCAGTGTTCTACTTTGCACAAGACTATTAAGATCCAAACAGAGCTGATGAAAAGAATAGCTTCAGAAATGAGACCCTGGAGAAACAAATCTCATCTGAGGTAAGGTATAATGTTTACTTCTGCCTTCCCTAGTCAGCCCCTTTGAAGAGAGAGCACGGGCATTGAGGTCACACAGACGCGGGTGCCAGTTTCATTTCCGCGCTTATTTGCAAAATGACTTTGAGCAAGTTGCACATCCTCTTGAGCCTCAGCATTCTCTTGGGAAAATGAAGTGAATCCTCCCCAACTCATGACATGAGGCTCACGGGACAGCTACTGGCACATAGAAGGCGCTTCCTAAGTGCAGGTCTCTCCATGTCCTCCTCGGCCATCTCTGCTCTTGCTTCACTTAGTGGAGTCCAGAAAGCTAGGAATGCTTATTCTTGGGGATTTTCTGAGAATTCAAAAATTAACTTAAAAATCCTGCTTCCAAAAATAAATCTTACCCCCGTCAGAGTCAATGTCAGCTCATCACAGAGCATGCAGAATTAATCCTCATAATAGAAGTACCCATTCTTGATCTGAAAGGATTTCTGTCTAAAACTCAAGAGCTGGTTCATGAGAGATTGGATTCTTAGTTAGAGTCAATGAAAAGTATTGACCCTAGGTAGAAATCCATGAGTAATCTGGAGAGAAGAAGTGACCTAGAAAATGCCTTATTTGGTATTAAAGTTAAACTTATTATTCCAGTATCAACAAGTTGTACGTGTATTCACGGAGTGGAGAGTCAGGCACAGAGCTAGGATCTCCACACCTTGGTCCAACATGTCTTACTATAAATGGTCCACAGAATTTAGCATCAGGAAGTAAAGAACAGTGGCTCTGCTACAGCCACAGACACACAAGGGGAAGAAATGCCCCCAAACAAGAGGCTTAAGGATATACTATTTTGTAAATGAAAAACTTTATTCAAGAATAACATTCAGATAAATTTATCTATTTATTTTGAAAAGCAAAGTATTTTTCCACACTAGCACTATGTACTGACATTTAGGAAAATCTGTATAGTAATAAAAGCTGCTTCACAACCTCTAAACTAAATTCACTCCTTGATGTCTCAAATGATTTGGTGAATGAACGTGTGCTTACATCGAGAGTCTCGTATAGATATGCTGCTAAGAAAATTCAATGACGCTTTTGGAAAGAATGTTACTTAATAATGAACCCCATGTAAGTTCTTTCTTTACATTCATATTAGGGTAAGTAAAATGGCTTCTGCTGCAAGTTTTTCGGGATAATTAAAATTTTTGAACTTGTCCCTGGATTGCCCAGAACCATGTTCTAGCTCAGTTAACATTTTTTTTAACTTTATTTTCACTAACTCTACTGTGAGCTTTTCCTTTTTAACATAGGTCTGATCATGACACCCCATTCCTCACAAACCTCCAGAGATTTCCACCTCACTCTGGGTAAAAGCCTAATACCCCTTGAACTCATCTCCAACTACAGTCCCTGCTGCTCCCCCGTACTAGCCACAGTGGTCCCCAGCAGTTCTTTACATAAAAACCGTTCTCCACTACACTCAGGGCTTTCGCACTTACGGTTTCGGTCTGGAATGCTCTTCCACATCCCTTCTCTCAGTCGGGTCCTTGAGCACATGTTACCTTCTCTGAGAAGCCCTCCTTGCTTATTTTTTAAAAACACAACCACCTCCCCTAGCATTCTTCATCTTCTCCCTGCTTTATTTTATTCCACTGCATTTACCACCTTATATATACTATGCAGTGTATTTTAATAACATATGTACTTGTTGCCTATCTGCTCCCATTAGAATTAAGCTTCCAGAAGATAAAAGTTGGTTCTGTTTTATTCCGTTGCCCCACAGGGTCACATGATTGGGGATCTTTCCACCGTCCTCTCTCATTTCCTTCGGTTGGCTTCTCTCCTGGTTTCAAGAAGTCCACCGACTCTGTGTGCCACATGCAGACAAACATTTCTGCAGAGGCAGAAATGATGTCTCTATGATCTGTCCCTCTTACAGAGTGAGGAAAATCCCCCCAGAAGAATCTAGCAGACTCTCATCACAGTTCCTTTCTGAGGATAAAGGTACATGTGTGCTCTTGACCAGACCCGTGGATGGGCTTTGAGGATTCCATGAACTTCCTCCACTGCCACCATCAAGTTGCTTGACTCAAAAGTAGCAGCACTTAGGTAAGAGTGGGGCAGGAACTGCCTCTCTCTAGACCCAGGCAATCAGATGAGAATTATGGCTGGTGTGCTAAAGGGCTAGGGTTGGAGGTAGCTGGCTTCCTTAGGAACTGGGGAAGTAAATTTAGGCATCTCCCCTGGCCCCAAAGCCTATCACCCCGCATTTGATCCTGCCAACAGAAAGCAAAGCAAATGGACAAGAATCTTCCAACTTCAAGCATCAGCACAGGGAGAATGAGACACTTGGAACAGAAGCAGATACCAGACACGCGTGACACAACCTTCACTTCTACCTTCACCACCTCCCCAAGCCAAGGTTTTTCATAAGACCACCAGTGTACAACTCAGCAGCAGCCCACTGCTGGGGAAGAATAAGACTTCAGCAAAGCCTCTGGAGTAGCACATCCTCTGGGACTCCGATCTTTGCTCCACCACAAGGGTCCAAGGAATGACATAGCTTCTTTTTCCCAGAGGAGGAAATAAGTTAAAGTCACTATTATATAGGTCTGTAGAATAAAGACACCCAAACACTTTAATTTGGAAGTTACAATGAATGCAAGATGAGCTGCTCAACTGCCCCTTCAAGCAAACTCGTGTTGCCCTTATCTGGGAGAATATCACCAGCAGGCAGCTTTCAGGTGTCAGCTCTGTTTCAGGTGTCAGCTCTGTTGGTCCAGCGTTATGTCCAAGATCATGCTCTTTCCAGCACAGCCTCATCCAATGTCTCATCAAGACCACCAGACAGCTTGAGCCTACCAGGTTCTGATTCTAGAATTATAATCTGTTGACTACTATCTTATTTTTCCGTTCTTTCGTAACGCTGTGGTTTTAGTTATCGTAGCTTTAAGATAGGTTTTAATGTGAGTAGTAAGTAATGCACGTCTCCTTTGTTGTTCTTTTTCAAAAACTTACTGCCTATTCACCTGTTTAGTCTTCGTTTTTACTGGTACTGTGTTACATTTTTCAATTAAATTTATAAAGAATGGTAATGAAACATTCAGGCTCTCCATTTACTCAAATGTTTTTTAAATGTCTCACAGTCAAATCTTGGAGTTGTGATATCTTAAAGAATTCCATGATTAGAATACTACACACCATTACATAAAGATACTTAAGACTGGTGATGACACCTATTGACACATCATTCAGTTTATTTGAAACTGGACAGGCCAGCATCTTGCAATTTACAAGTTGTGCTAAATACAGTTACATCCTTTCTCCACTTTCTTTTTCCAAATTGAAATGATTCTCGGGTAGTCTTAAGAGGCTCCAAAACTGGCTTAGCACCTGTGGCTCAAGTGGCTAAGGCACCAGCCACATACACCTAAGGTGGCAGGTTCGAATCCAGCCTGGGCCCACCAAACAACAATGCTGGCTGCAACCAAAAAATAGCCAGGCGTTGTGGTGGGCGCCTGTAGTCTCAGCTACTTGGGAGGCAGGGGCAGGAGACTCGCTTGAGCCCAGGAGTTGGAGGTTGCTGTGAGCTGTGATACCACAGCACTCTACCCAGGGGGACAGCTTGAGGCTCTGTCTCCAAAAAAAAAAAAAAAAGAGGCTTCAAAACTAAGGAGCAAAAAGGTCTGATGATTGGTAAACTGTTTGAGGCAGTGAATCCATTAGAAATAAAAGGCAGAAACTCACCTTTGGTTTAAAAAATGGAGAAGGAAGCTAAGAAATAGCTGAGCTAATACTCTTCATGCCCTTTTTATCTATGGCTCCACTAATAACCACATAACTATTATACAATTGTGGAAATCCAGAAATCAAATATTACTTATAACTATAGAGGTACAGAATATAGGGATTTTTTTTAATTGGGGAAATACTTAAAAAGGTTTCAGGGGCAAAAATGAATGAAAGGCTGAGAATGCGTCTCTAAGTCTTCATTTCCTCAACTGTAAATGGGTAGCATCACCCACCTGTAAGGATTCGACCAAGAGGAGACAGAAAAAAAGCTAGGGGCAAACAATTCCACAGTTTCACTTTTTTGAGTTTGTTTGATTTTTTTTCTCGTGAATTCTATGTGTATTCAGCCCTTTGCTGGATGTGTGGAATGTGGATGTTTTGAGGACTGGCAGCCAAAATCCACAAGGAACTAAAGAAAATCAGCAGGAAAGAACTAAACAACCCCATTAAAAAGAGGGCAAAAGACACGGACAGAAGCTTTTCAAATGAAGATAAACTTACAGACAATGAACTTATGAAAAAATGTTCAACATCTCTAATCATTTGGGAAA